CACGTGGGTTCCTCAAAAAGGTACCACTCACTCTGTGTGGTGAGAGGGAAACAAGGAAGGAGGGCCTGGACGCTGAGAGCCAAGTCCCTCTAACAAGTTTCCTGGGAGCCCAGCCTGCAATATCCGGTCATCTCAGAGCAGAGTGTTTACCTCATGTGTCAGTTTCCTGTGGCTGCTGTGACACATTCCCACAAATTTTGAGGTAATAAATGAGAGAAATGATTCTCTCACAGTATGGAGCCCAGGATTTCCTTCGGTTGACATCAAGGGGTCTGAGGAGGATGGGCTCTCCCCAGAGGCCCTAGGGGAGAACGTGTTCCTTCTTCTTCCAGCTTCTGGGGGCTGCTGGCGTCCTTGGCTTGTGGCCACACTATCGATCTCTGTCTCATGGTCATGTCGCCTTCTCCTCTGTGTGTGTGAGCACTTCCTTTTTCTCTTCTTATGAGGACACTTGTGATGGCATTTAGAGCCCACCCATCTGTTCCAGGGTAATCTTCTGTTCTCAAAATCTTTAATTTCATCACTTGGGCTTAGAAGGTTTTTCCAAATATGGTAACATTTATGAGAGTTGTAATTGATTAGACCTGATACCTTTGAGGCCACTATTCAGCCCACCCTATCCCATTCCAGGTTTTCATGGAAAAACTAGAAATCACACATCTATTCACATGTGAAAGGCTTCACTTCAGGGATGCAAAGTGCTCCCAGTTTTGATTTCCCAAGAGGGGCGTTGGAGATGATAAAGGAGGAGCCAGAGCCTGGTGTGTCCAGACAGGACTCCACTCTGAAGGGAGGTGCCTGGTCACGGGCCATCAGGTCAAGCCTCCTTCCAGATCTATCCACCTTTTCCCCAGTTTCTAGGACAACTTATTTTTTCTTAAAGATTGGCACCTGAGCTAACAACTGCTGCCAACCTTTTTTTCTCCTTCTTCTCACCAAAGCCCCCCAGTACATAGTTGTACGTTTTAGTTGTGGGTCCTTCTAGTTTGTCATGTGGGATGCTGCCTCAGAATGGCCTGACTAGTGGTGTCATGTCTGTGCCCAGGATCCAAACTGGGAAAGCCCTGGTCCGCCAAAGCGGAGTACATGAACTTAACCACTTGGCCATGGGGCTGGCCCCTAAGACAACATTTTTTTTTTAATTGAGATTATGATAGTTCACAACATTGTGAAATTTCAGATGTACATTATTGTTTGTCAGTCGTGTTGTAGGTGTACCACTTCACCCTTTGTGCCCACCCCTCACCCGCTTTTCTCTAGTAACCACTAATCTTTCCTCTTTGTCTACATGTTTAAATTCCACATATGAGTGGAGTTATACAGAGATTGTCTTTCTCTATCTGGCTTATTTCACTTAACATAATACCCTCAAGGTCCATCCATATTTTTGTGAATGGGATGATTTTATCCTTTTTATGGCTGAATAGTATTCCATTGCATACATATACCACATCTTCTTTATCCAATCATCAGTTGATGGGCACTTAGGTTGCTTCCACATCTTGGCTATTGTAAATAATGCTGCAATGAACATAAGGGTGCATGGGACTTTTGGAATTGCTGATTTCAAGTTCTTTTGATAGATACCCAGTAGCGGGATGGCTGGGTCATAGGATATTTCTATTTTTTAATTTTTTGAGGAATCTGCATACTGTTTTCCATAGTGGCTGCACCAGTTTGCATTCCCACCAGCAGTGTATGAGGCTTCCTTTTTCCCCACAACCTCTCCAACATTTGCTACTTTTTTTTTTTGGTTATTCTTGCCATTCTAATGGGTGTAAGGTGATATCCTAGTGTAGTTTTGATTTGCATTTCCCTGATGATCAGTGATGATGAGCATCTTTTCATGTGCCTATTGGCTATCCGTATATCTTCTTTGGAGAAATGTCTGTTCATTTCCCCTGCCCATTTTTTGATTGGGTTGTTGATTTTTTGTTGTTGAGTTGTGTGAGTTCTTTATATAGTATGGAGATTAACCCTTTGTTGGATATATGACTTGCAAATATGTTTTCCTAGTTGGAGGGTTGTTTTTTTTGCTTCAGTCCTGTTTTCCTTTGCCTTGAAGAAGCTCTTCAGTCTGAACAAGTTCCGTTTGTTTATTTTTTCTATTGTTTCCCTTGTCTGAGAAGACATGGTGCTTAAGACAACATTTTTAAGGGTTCCTGGAATGTCCTCATTCTGTTTCTCCCCTCGTTAAGTTTCATGTCAGACGTGGAGATTCTAGAGTGTTTTCTCCTTGTCCCATTTCTCCTGCACTTCTAATACCAGGGCTGGATTCAATTTACACCCAGTGTTTCCCTGGCCCTGAACTGAGATCTGCCTCCCAAGCAGTGACCCATGGACAAGGGTCCCTGGGTTAAGTCATGGGTCCCCAAGGATAATTTTGTCTGGTAGGTGTGGTGGGTGACACATTCCATTCTAGATGGAACTGTAGGAACTGAGCCAGGGAGCTCAGAGTAGATCATACATAAGCAGAGGGAGGGGAAGGAGCAAGCTCAGATCTGGCAAGGAGATGGAGGAAGGGAGAAGCGGAAGCAGAACAGTGACACTTGGATCTCTCCCCTCCTGACAGGCTCTCCAATCTGAGCCATCAGGGGGCACGGAGGGTCTGGGTTTGGGCACTGCAATGGCCCCAAGTCACTGCTGAGGATTTTCCTGGTTGTAGGAAGTTCCAGGATCTTCTTTCTCCCTAGTCACTCTAAAGCAGAAATACTCACAATCCAATGTCCCCACTCTGTCCCTTCTCTGAACGGGAGGGTAAACACCCTAGGCATCAACTCTGACCCAATCTCAGGCCACTGCAGAGGCTGGGGGCAGAGGGTGTGAGCATCCACCCTAAGGAGAGGTGGGGACAAAATGGTAGGCCCCCTCCCTGCTTTGTCCCTGGGAAGGAGCTACTGGACATTTTCTCAGGGAGGCTGGACTCTCCCCACCCTCAGTATTCAGCGCAGGGAGGAGTGCGTTGTCAGCCTTCTCGGCTGCCAGAATCCTGTTTTCCTGGAAGGGATAACATGGGAAAGATCAGATCCTGTGCCCCTTCCCTCCTCTAAGCCGTGGGTGACTGCAGAGAGAGAGCAGGGGAGTTCAAGCAGAGCTCCAAATGTGACATTTGCTGGGGTACATATGAGGAACCTGCATCAAATTCTATTTATTTCAGGTCCTCTCTTCAGATCCACCTGGGAACATTTTTTCCCTCAGGTGCCTGAATGTGCCCTGGAGACCCTTTGGGCAAATTCAGCAGCTCAGCTTCCCCACTTGAGCTCTCTCTTCAATTCATTCAACAAACAGGCATTACTGTGGGAAGTTGGTGTACATTTCTGTGTCCTCAGAAAGATCCAAAACCATGAAGTATGAGGATGTGAGAATTTTAGAGCAGCCTGTGCAAAGGCACTGAGGTAGTGAGAATATGGCCAATTGAAGGGCCAATAAGAAATCCAGTGAGGCTGAGTAATCATCCACTGGGGCCTGAGAGGAGGGAGATGAGGGGCAGTTGTGCCAGCACATATCATGTGATGACGTCAATGCAAGATAAACAGGTTGGGTATTTTTCTAAATGAAAATGAAATTTATTTGCGAATTTTCCATAATTTTTACCATCAGTCCTGCTTAGTGAGTTTACCTAATCCCATTCCTTTCTAGAAAAACACATGGCACACTGGGTCAGCCAACTCTCTGTGGATGGAAGATACTTTACCTCAGGAAGGTGCACAGAGCTGAGGTGAGGTTGTCTCAGTGCGCACAAAGTGCACAGAGGCAGAAAAGTTGCCTGTTCCCTGTGACATCAAAACCTGTCCTGAGGAGAGGTCCCTGGAGTGGGGACCTCAGACCAAACTTAACGCCAATGCCCTTCTCCCACATCCTCAAATACTGGGATTCCCCTCCTGCTTTCCTTTAAGTTCTTCTCCATCCTACAGACTTTTCTTCCTCAGACAGTAATTTCTTGTCCACTCGTTGAGAAGCCAGTCCATCTTTACATGGTCTCTTTTTCTCATCCTTCCTTCCTATGGGGGTTGGTTTATTTCACATCTAATGTTTCCTCAGCCCTGAGCCCAGAGCTGCCTCATAAGCAATTATCCTGTGAGACTGTGGTGGGACATCCTACATAGACATGAGGTGAACGTTGGGGCACCCAGTGTGGCAGATGACACATTCCAATCCGGAGGAAGTTAATGGGCAAAGGGAACTGAGCACAGAGGGAAATAGAAGGGATCAGGGGCCTGGTACTGAGCTGGATGAGGAAGGAGGGAGGAGGTAAGGCGAACAGAAGAGGGATTTCCAGCTCCTTCTCAGCTGCCCTCTCTGGTGCTTGCAATGCACCTGCTGAGGCCGCCAGGGGGCAGCGAGTGCCTGGATTTGGCAAGGTACTTGTTGTGGCTTCTGCTGTCCCAAATGAAGTTTCACGAGCTGCTTCCCTTTGACCCCCACTTGTGTCCCAAAGTGGTATGTCCCTAATAAATAATCTAAAAGTGCTAAAAAACCCCCTGGAGCTCAGCCTTGGGCCTCAGTCTCAAACCACTGCAGAGACAGAGGATAGAGTGATGCATGAAGACCCCTCCTAACTGAGGGGAATAAGGATTGAGGGGGATATGGGGTCCCCAGCTCTCCTTTGATACCATGGAAATGGAGCAATTGGCTATCTTTCAGCCACTCTAGGACCCTGTCCTCAGCTTTGCCCTGCACAACACAGAGGGAAGTCCTAGGATTTCTCACCCAGGAACCACCACGATTCCACAACAGGAAAGGTAGGGATACCCCTGGGCTGGATCCATTTCTGCATACTGTCGTGGGCTCAGTCTTTCCTGACTCATAATATGTCATTCACGAGTAAATTCTGCTGTCCAGGGATGCAGAACTATCTAAAATCAAGGGCCAAGTCAGAGAAAGATGAAGAAGCACAGGTGCAAGGCGCAAATTTGCATGGAGGTCCTTCCCTCCTCTGAGAGTTCTAGGGGAGCCCAGGGGTGGGGTCTAACAAGCCAGTGATCTCGGGCTTCTCCACCATGGCCAGTGCTCTGCTCCTCCTCACCATCCTCACTCAGGGCACAGGTGAGGACTTCAGAGAAGGGAAGACGGGGACACCTGGGCTCATCCTTGGTGTCCTCCTCCTCGGGCTCTATTGGGTCCCTGCGCTGAACTCACCAGAATGCGTTTTTCCTCTTTTCAGGGTCCTGGGCCCAGTCTGCCCTGACTCAGCCTCCCTGTGCATTTGGGGCTCTGGGACAGTCAGTCACCATCTCCTGCGCTGGAAGCAGCAATGACATTGAGTGTTATAACCATGTCTCCTGGTACCAACATAGCTTGGACACAGTCCCCAAACTTCTGATTTTTGCTATCAGTTCTTGGCCCTCAGGGATCCCTGCACACTTCTCTGCCTCCAAGTCTGGCAACATGACTTCCCTGACCATCTCTGGGCTCTAGGCTGAAGAAGAGGCTGATTATTACTGTTGCTCATATGCAGGCAGTGGCAATTTACATAATGGTCCAAGTTTATCGAGGAGTAAGAACAAAACCTTCTCTGAGTTCACTCAAGTGCCTCAGCCCTAACTCAGGCTCTATTTGACTTTTTTTTCTTTGTTATATCCACCAGCACCTAAGCCTTAATACTATTTCCTTAGATAGAATTCACGTTCCCTGAAATTCCTCATTTTAGGTATGTGATTCAGTGGTTTTAACATATTCATGAGTCTATGCATCCATGAACACTCTATAAGCCAGAATGTTTCCAACCCCCTAAAGAAATGTCTCATCCATTAGCAGCCACTCCCCATTTCTCTGGTTCTTCAGCCCTTCACAAACATTAATTTACTTTCTGTGTCTATGGATTTGCCTATTCTGGACATTTAACATAAATGGGATCCTACACTTCGTGGCCTTTTGCATTTGGCTTCTCTCACTCATCATAATTTTTTCAAGGTTAATCCATATTGAAGCATAGAGTATCAGTACTTCATCCCTCCTTATGGCCGAATAATATTGCATGGTATGGGTACACTTTATTTTATTTATCCTTTAATCAACTGATAGAATTTCATTAATTTTTCTGTCTCTTCTGTCATAACTCAAGGGCAAGTGATTCTTTCAAGATCTAGGGCATGAAAACTCTAGGTCCCCATCACTTCACGTGACAAAATAAAAATATCACATTCACTCTCAGGGAAATCTTTAGTAGGCATCAAGTCTACCTTCTTTCCACATGCTTAGAGCCTCCTAAGGATTCCATGTTGAGAGACATCTCTCCTTGTTTTCTACCTGTTGTTTGAACATGTCCCAGAAATGCTGGAGAGGGCAGGGCGGGGGTCTGGGCCTCAGCTTCTCAAAACAGAAGGGGACTTTCTCTCACTATTCGCTCTTTTTTTTTTTCCTTTTCCAGTTGCTTTATTTAGAGGTTCTAGGTGACTGTTTCTACCATCCCCAAAGGCTACAAGGGCAGATTTTTCACCTTATTCTTACTGTTTCTCATGAAAACTTTCTCCACATCTACGTGTGTTCTGAGTTCTTGTTTATGAAACTAAGGAAAGGAAAAGTATTCAGATATATTTCAGTTAATTTTTCTAAATTCCTTTTATTATGAGATACATCATCGTAAAGCAGAGTGTGTGAAAGGAATATTCACAATTTAAGGAAGAATAAAACATGGAAACCACATCTACCCATGGCTACCCCTACGCCCCCAAAGCCTATCCATCTACCCCACTTCCCACTTAGCCACCGTGTTGATGTGGTGTTAGTCATTCTATTGTTTTCTTTACATTCCTTCTCACAGCTCCAAAGCTTGCATCCCCAAACAACATAGCTTGAAATAGTGAGAACTAGCAACAATCCAGCTGAGTGAGGAAAGGGCAATGTGTCTATCAGGTGAGGTCCCAGGAGACATGGACCCTAAGAGGGGCTCAGGCTCAGTCTTAGGAGAAGATCAGCTGTGATCTACTGGAGCCTCTCCTGAAAATGGCAGACAAGGCTCCAGAGGAAGAGAAGGGACCCCTAGACTTGGGCCTGTGGCTTTGCTGTATGTGGGCAGATCCTGTGTCTTTAGCACAAATATTGTCAGGGGATTAGCTGCCCCACACTTTCTGCTACTTAGCTTGGCATGGCCTGTCTGCCTCATATGATTAACTTTTCTAAGTACTCAAAGAACCAGCCATGAGTTCTGTCGAGGTTTTACAGCTGCGTTTGGTGGTGAAAAAGGGTAGGGTAGGCTTCCTACATCTTAAATGGACCTCGTACCTGATAAAACTATGTTTGTTCTGAAAAATTAAATCAGTTTGAACCAATGACCATCTAAAAACATGAAGGAGGAACAAGAGTCTTAAAAGCTATTTAAGGAAAGACCAAGAATAAATATTTTCACGGTTCATGAGGTCATTTTTTCTGTGGCCATCGCAAGGTGGAGGAAAACAAACAGAAAACACGTCTGGATGACCAGACCAATAAATCAAAGATAAAATGGAATGCAATATTTGGATAATATAAAGTTCATAATAAATATCACTGTTGTTTGCATAGAAATGCCCCATTCTCAAACAAACCTACACTGTCCTCTGTCATTAATCTCCTCTTAGGTCCTATACAAAGGCCAGTGGTCTTTATAATTATCCTCTCTCATCTTGAGAATCAGAAGCTGAGGAAGGATAAGTCACCTGCTTAAGAGTGGAAACTGCCGAATAGGGAGAAGCTGACTCAGGGTCAGGACTGTGGCTGCTGCCGGGTGCTCCTTGTCCCTCCATGAGGCTCCCTGACAAATGCACCTGATGCTCCATGTGGCATGCGATGAGTGGCCTGGGAGTGACTGATCAGCTTGTGAAATTTGGTGCTGCAAAAACTTCAGAACAAAGAAGTGCAGGTGGAAACATGGCAAGATTGCAGCTGGGGAGACCCCACTACCACCCACAACTAAGAGCTCTTGTTTCCACAGAAGGGGGCCATGACACTATCCTAAAAATGGAAAGATCTTGAAGAGGGGGCACCAAGCAGAGGGCACTGAAGAGTGTGTCTCCAGCTTGAGAGGGTCACAGAGACACAGTCACATCACAGCAGAGACACTGAAGGTCCAAGAGGTTATTAACATGAGGGACTTCAGCGGATTTTTCTCTCCTGTGCAAATTAGTTATAAACAATTCAAGTAAGTGCCCCTCGGGATAAACATGAGAAAGAGTTTTATTCCCTTCAGCTTTACTCTGTGATCCAGTGATGCAGAAGGATCTAGAGTCCAGGGCCATGTCAGAGGTAGGTGAAGAGAGGGAGGTGCAGGAAGCAGATTTGCATGGAGGTCCCTCCCTCCTCTCGGTAGAGGTGGGGATAAGAGAGGTCTAGGGGAGCCAGACCCAGGGTTGGGGGCTCAGAAGGCAGTGCTCTTGGGGCGTCTCCACTATGGCCTGGGCTCTGTTCCTCATCACCCTCCTCACTCAGGGCACAGGTGAGACCTGCAGGGAAGTGACCATGGGGACATCTCAGCTGATCCTTTGTCTCCTCTTCCTCAGGTTCAGCTGGGACTCCAGCACTGAACTCACCAGAGTGTGTTTTACTTCTTTCAGGGTCCTGGGGCCAGTCTGCCCTGGTTCAGCCTTCTTCGGTGTCCGTGGCTCTAGGACAGTCGGTCACCATCTCCTGTGCTGGAAGCAGCAGTGACATTGGGTATTATAACTCTATTTCCTGGTACCAACAGCACCCAGGCACAACCCCAAAGCTGCTGATTTACTATACCAATAAGAAGCACTCAGGGATCCCTGATCGCTTCTCTGGCTCCAAGTCTGGGAACACGGCCTCCCTGACCATCTCTGGGCTCCAGGCTGAGGATGAGGCTGAGTATTACTGTTGCTCATATGCAGGCAGTGGCAATTTACACAGTGGTCCAAGTTCATGGGGAAGTGAGACCAAAACCTGCCCTCTGCTTGCAGGCTCCCTCCTTGCTCTGGAGATGCTTCCCTGACACTGGGTCAAGGGGGATTCATGTGACATAGTTTTGAAAATTCTGTTCTCTCTCAGCTCCTTTCTCCTCCCACAATGATGTCCAATAGGAAAAATGTTCTGAGGTTTATTGTTTTGGGACACTAGGAACTTCATCTTTGCCTGTGTGATGTAGTTCCCAGATGTGTCACTCTTTCCTGATTTTCAACAATAGTGCAACGGGTAATTCCATGTGTCAACTTGACTGTGTTAAGAGATGCCCAATAATCTGGTAAAGTATTATTTCTGAGTATGTCTGTGAGGATGTCTTCAGATGAGATTTGCATTTGAATTGTAGACTGTGTAAAGAAGACCACCCTTGTCATTGCCCATGGGCATCGTCCGTCCAGCTGAGGGCGTGAATAGAAGAAAATGATGGAGGAAGAAGGAGTTTGCTCTCTGCTTGATCTGAGACATCTGTCTTCTCCTACCCTTGGACATTGGCACTGCTGGTACATCTGCTTTCAGACTCAGACCAGGACTTAGACCTTGGGGCCCCATTCTCAGGCCGCTGGACTCAAACTGAATTATATAACTGTTTTTCCTGGTTCTCCAGCTTTCAGACACCCTTTCGTGGGACTTGTCAACCCTCATAACTCTGTGAACCAATTTCTATAATAAATCATATATATATATATATACGTACATATATATTCAGTTTCTCTGGAGAACGCAGGCTAATACAGATTTTGGTACCTGGAGTCATTCTAGAGAAATAGAATTTTAGTGATGAGTTTTCTAAATTGGTTCTGAGGTTTCTAGAATTGTCTGTCTAATCTACATGGATTTAATGATGCTAATGACTGTATTTCCGTTAGTAAAGAGATCATTGATAGTCCATGTCATGAACTGTTTATAGAGATAAGCAAAATATGTGCACTGGATACTTCCAATTAACCACTTATAAGAAGCAAAGAGCTAAGTATATGATACTGTCAACGCAAATAGTCCCTAACCAATCTAAAACTGAATGTTGGGATGAGTTTATTATGAGCCAGATCTGAGGACTATCCCAGGGCCTGCCTTCCCCAAGGGAGGAAGGGCACCAAAGAAGTGGGGTGTACAGAGTAGTTATATGCAGTCTTGGGACAATGAGCATGCATCACATATGTTAGGATTGTCCCTTTGACAATTGTCATGAGATTTTTAGCTGGCTTAGCAGATCAGTGGTCATCAGGTCAGTGGTCACAAGGTAAGCGATCACAAGGTGAGCACAGAAGGTCAATAATTAATCCTTAGTTTAGGGAGAGATGCTTATTTTACAGGAATTGCTAATATAGGAGGAAGTTACAGCCCTATCTTTAGGGATTCTTGTCTTTGGGGCATAGTAAATACTCAAAGCAATTATACAATGCATGCTCAACATGCCAGGTCAGGCCCTTTTGGAAAAACAAGGTCAGGCCAAGTTAGTTTCAAGCCAATGGCTTTCTCATATACTCCAATATATCCTATTGCTTGCCATTTATTTATCAGTACTTTCAAACAGTTTTGGAAGACTTAGGAATATAACGACATTGATTGCTTGCTATTAATGTTGCTGGCAAAGTAGTGAAGGAAAAAGATGAGTTTAGGGATTCTAATTTCCAGGTCAAGGGCCACGTAAATGACCTTAGTGCTTCAGGGTGTGCCCTGTAGGAAATCGTTATCTCATAGCTGCTGGACTGAAACTGCAGAAAATCAAATCGGAACCTCATCCCTTGATTGGCTAAATTACAACACAGGTTAAATTCCAAACCTTGCAGGGTATCTACTGTTAAAGTGAGGATACTGATTGGGAGAAAACAGGATCCTGGAATTTGGGATGGTGATGTGTGGGAGACCTTGCTGGAGCTGGGGACACAGAGCTCTTTGGTTCTGATGAATCTTCTTTACCAGTGGAAGAGATCACCTTGTTACAGAAACCAAAGTGGGTTCCCTCCTGATGAGTTCAATCAGACTCTCCCCCAGAAGTAGTTGCCTCACAAAGTAAACTATATTTGCAGCAAATAGGAGACCATGAGGAATCATTTCCAGAGTCTTAGCATCAAGGGAAAAAGGGAAGCAAGGACGTTTATTTCAGATGGGGAATGAGTATTCAAAAGGGAGAGGTGGGTATCCCTTGTGCAGGCTCAGTTGGAAAACATGCTTCTATATACACTGCAGGTTACGGTAATAGGGCCTAAGCTCCTCCTGGAGAGATTTTAGCATTAAAAATAAGGCAAAGGTCATGGGCGCAGCTTTCCTAGTGAGGCTTGATCTGATTCAGGGAGGTTGGTGATTGCCTCTCCGTAACATAACAAAAGGAAAAAGAATAATTTAGAAAAATAGTTAAAATACCTAAAGGATCCTTGAGTTCTGTGAGGGTAACTAGTTGGTGACATCATCACTACCAGTGACTGAGGTCTCTGCACCTCTGTCAGAGGGGATTACTCCTTCATTGCCTGAGCAAAAGATAATAGCCTCTCTGAGGCACTTCCCATAAAAGGCAACGCTGATTCTCTTCAGGACCCACCCACACCACCCTTCTTTGCTTCTAGACCTATAGTTAGACTCAAATCCCAGCAGGTTCCTAAAGGTGAGGTACAGTGTGTCTCACAAGGAGGTACCTTATACTGCAAAAAACCTACTTGATTTTTCTGATTCACGCAAACAGAAACCTCAAGAACATGTGTGGGAATGGATACTAAAGATGTGGGATTATGGAGGGATGGACATAAAGTTGGATTAGGCTGAACGTATTGATATGGGCTCACTAAGCAGATATTTTGCATTTAATGTTGCAGCGCAGTGATTCAGCGAGAGCTCTAACAGTTTTTTGCCTGGTTGGTTGAAACTTAATGAAATGGTGGCCCATTGTGAGTGAAGTAGGAGAGCCAGACCTGCTTTGATTTGATGTACAGGAAGAGATTGAAAAGGAGGAAGGATTGGAATGTGAAAGGTGGAATGGATGTGTCATTTAAGACCTACTCACCCACATTGGGAGGGTCCGGAAGACATACCTCCTACCATAACTGTGAGAAATATATTTGTGAGGGAAACCTCAACATCCTTGCAGAGCTCAGTGATCAATCTTCTCTAGGCCAGACCTTACAGTGGAAACTGTAACCACTCAGTTGGAAAGTCTAAGTATACTTGGAGAAATTGGGATCCTGGGGTGGCAAGGCCAAATGGTGGCACTCAACTGCTAAAGGTAATGTGGATGTGGTTACCACAATGGACAGCAGAGTCAAAGCAGCGATCAGAAGAGTCCGACTTGCACAGACCTATGTCGTTGGTTAGGCAATCATGGTGTTCCTAGAAGTGAAACAGGCATGAAGCCTATTAAAGTCTTACCTGATCTCTATAAACAGAAAATTTCTAGGTCAAGTGAACAAATGTCTAACTCAAATAATAAAAGCAGAGATCAGGGTCTCTTAATCAGTTCCCAGACTAGAGCAGTTTACAGACCCAGAACCACTTGAATGAAGGTGGCTGAGTCCCCTTTAAGAAGGACCTCAGTACACTGTCAAAAATTTATGCTGTTGACCTTTCTTGCCTTCCCCAAAGGAGCCAATGGCCTTTTACCAGAGTGACTATGCACTGACAAAAAGGAAATAATCAGACTTTTCAGAGAATACTGGACACTGGCTCTAAACTGACATTGATTCCAGGAGGCCCAAAAGATCAATGTGGCTTTCTAGTCAGAGTTGGTCTTATGGAGATCATGTGATCAATTAAGTTTTATCTCAGGTCTGTCCCACAGTGGGTACAGTGTGTCCATGAATCCATTCTATGGCTATTTCCCCAGTTCCAGAATGTAGTTACCATCAGGAACTCAGTTTTACCTGACCCATCAAGCCATAAACCTGGGCATGCACAGCAATACTTCCTCATCAGATGGAAATGTGTATGTGTGATCAGGCCCAAGCAGGCCCTGAAGGCACAAGTAAGTTACATGAATAAGCGTATAACTGGCCTGTGGTCTTCGTTCTGTAAGATGGTTCTTTTGGACATTAGTCAGCCATCTTCCCTCTTGCTAGCAAGCTGTAATAAAGAACCCTTTCTCTCCTACCTCCTTGCCTCCTGACTGTTGGCATGTCTTTCAGAAGACCTGCTTTGGCCAGTGACACCAATTTCCCTGATTTTTCATGTCCATAAATGACATGGAGGCTTTTGAGAAAGGACTGAGGCTTGTTTGAAAGAGAATCAGCCAGAGACCCAGTGTTGAATCTATCAGGACTAAAGTCTCTTTTGGGATAGGAGACTTTTGTACATGCGAAAATCAGAGGATGCTGTGGGACCACATTTCTGTTTGTCAGGGGCACTGGACAAGCTGCAAATATTTTCAGCTGACACCATTTGCATTTTTTACAAGTGTTCACAAAGCATGCCTCAGCAGCTGTGACAACCCTCACACTCAGAGAGGGAGGAGACATGAAGGAAAACAGGAACAAAGCCCTCATAACCCCCTCCTCTATCAACCCCTCATCTGGCAGTGTGTTTACCCAGCTAGGATTCAGCCCTGGGTGAAAGAAGGAAACTGAGTGGGGGTTTGCATGAAGGCTCCCTTTCCCCTAAGAGATGGAGAAGAAGGAGAGTTAAAGTTGGAGGAGTCTAGCCTCCAGCTGTAGGGTCCTCAGGAAGCAATGTCCACAGGAGCATCACCAACATGTCCTGGACAACTCTCCTCTCCATGGCCTTTGCACAGGTCAGGGCAGGTTTTCTGGGTTTTGGGGCAGGTCATGAACAAGGGGTTCTGTGGAGGAGTCACCCTAACTTCAGTTCTCATAAGCACCTCCTTCTGTTCTCTCAAGCCAGTTTTCTGCCTCTGATGACCCAGGAGCCCTCTCTCAATGTGATGTCTGATTTGGTAGTCACCCTCACCTAAACTACGAGTATGGGATCTGTCACAACTGGGAATGCATCAGGATAGTTCTTGAAGAAAACTGGCCAAGCTCCTCTGCAGCTCATATACCAGGCAAACAAATGCCTGACATCCATCTCCAAATGCTTTTCAAGTTCCAACCTCAGGGGCAGAGCTACACTTTCCATCACTGGGGCACAGCCCAAAGACGGGGTTGAGTATTTCTGTATGGTCTGGTACAATGCAGCTGCTTCACAGTGACAGCTTCTAGTGGAGAGCTGAATCAGAATCTCAATGTGCTCAGCCTTGAGTAGCAGCATTGTGAGCAGAAAGAAAATCTCCCTACACTGGGCGAGGGTTGAAACTCACCAAAAACTCAATTCTGCTCACTCAGCTGATGAGTGGCCTGGATATAATGTTCTTGGGACACATTTCTCTCCTCCAGAGCACTATGGTTGCTACCTCGTTGTTTCACTAGCATTCAGTCCAACAGGGAAGAGGTGTGAAGATGGTTTGATTTTCACTTTTTCAGTCACAGGGCTTTTGTTTGGGGAACTAATAGAATTCTTTAGAACAAATTTAATTAGTTTGAATTTGAACACAAGATACTACATGTACATTGGCAGAAATTTTTCAAATGGTACCGGTAGTGGTTGCTGCTGGTGCACTGGCTCAGTTGGTGTGTTTATCTCCCATCTATGGAGGGTGTTCTGGCTAATCATTCACACAGGCAGTCTTCTCCCATGGGCCTCTGAAGACTGAAGTTGCCTCAAGAAGA